GATCCAGTGTCGAAAATCTACGCATAACTTTATTTAGTTCCCCAAAGGCTGCCTTTCCTCGAAATTACATTTCTTGGGATGATGGCCTTCAATTTTATACGATACTATCAGTTTATTTACGGGCCCACGGCCTGTGCACTGGTATCCTGCAAATACGTGATCGGATAAGGAGGACGGTCTTCAATTAGTTCTGTGATCTGTGGACAGGGACTGCGACAATTTCATAAAATTGTGGTCGTCTGATTCAGAACCTACATAAGGGATTGCGTAACCCCGGCAGTCAGCGTGTAACTGCTCACTCCCACGTTAGTCAGCGCCGCTGCTGATTCATGCCGCTTTTGCCTGTTAAGCATTACGTACGCGCACTTGACAACCTCCGCCAATAACATGAGAGTTGTCGAAAGCTATCTATTCACAGATTGGTCGCGACCGGACGGGGCCAAAGCGGATGCAATTCGAGTGTCACTGGCTTGGTGAAAACGCTTGCTGCCTCCAGCTAACCACCTTCCCCCATTCTTCTGAGTTGGGAACTTCTCAGCCACTCCACTTAGACAAGAAGTAGAGGAATGTACCCGAAAATGACGGGGAGCGCGTCGAACCTCTTAAAACCTAGGGCCCTCTTCTTTTATATGACTATAAATCAATATAGTGTGTTATTCAACCAGACCGTGAGAGGTTTACTTGTTCGCATACTGAGGCGGTTACATGTAAGGCGTTAAATGGTAACCAGAAGCTTACGTGGCCGCTAGTTTTGTATATGGCAGAGTGAAACCGGCAAAACCTAAGGAGACCGGAATGGCCACTTCTGGCTTAATAGCCTTCGTCAGCCAGGCAAATCCAATCACAGGTTGGCTAGCCATAAGATTCGAACCGATCAGCTTTGGTAATTGAGCGCAACACTATAAAATTGCATCATGGGATCGTTGGTTTTGTCGGTTGCGATCGCGAATAAACTAATAGTAGGTGCTCATCGACGTGGTTACGCAACGTGTTCGTGCCATTGTGTCGTAGAGTTCAATCTGGATCCCTCGCAGGCAGTCGCATAGCGACTAGCAATATATACTGAAGTGGGAGCCGCA